CCTCCCACGACTCAATTACTATGGCATGAATTCGTAGCTAATAATCCATATTATAATAGTATATACGTTTTAAGTTCTTAGTTTTATAAGGCAATATTAAAAACAAAATCCTCAATTTCCCCTAGCGTGAGAAATGTAACATTTTTTCTCTAAGCATCCCCCTCTTCTCTAATTTATTCAGAAACCCTCCAATAAATATGAAATTTAACATAAATTACTCATTACAAAATCGTCATCACTCAAACCACCATTTTTATAGCCTTCAATTTTGTTTGGTTACAGAGACATCAAACAGAAAACCAGACCCCTCTTTCAGGATTTGTTAATAGATCTCTCTCTTAGATCTAATTCTATATTATTTATAAAGAAAAGAAAGCCAAAGTTTTCATTTATCAGATAAAGTATTATATTACATTGTTTTCTGAACAGAGAAATGTCAATTTCTCTTTTAGTATAAGCTTCGTTCCCATGGGAAACATATCGAGTAGTTGGACAAATTTGTAAAGGCTCTTGCCAAAGAAATTGTGATCATCATGGGACATTGTCTTCTTTTTTGCATGTTACAATTCTATGTTCTTTGATGCATTATTTAATGAAATAAAAATTAGTGCACTACTACCAATAGTATAAAAAAGTAGGGTTGTCATTGACAGTCAACAGCAATAAAAAAAAAAAATAATAATAAAAAAAGAGATAGAAGATAGAGGTAAGTACTTTATTTCTTGTTTTTCATGTGTTTTCTTTAGTTATTATAAAAAAGTAACTAAAATGTAAAAATAGGAATCTCTTTAAGTTAGTTAGATTAAGTAATATAAATAATAATAATATAATAAAACTGTTTCACGAGGTATGCACACAACAGCTTGGAGTAGCTCGTGGGTAATGTAATTTGATTGCATAATGTGAGCTCCACATTCGGCAAGTGATTTACAACTTATAGTAGTTAAACATGGTTGAAAGGGCAATAAAACAATAGAATTTAAGTATAAATAGATATATACTGTTACAAGTTTAAAGCTACATAGAATAAACAAATGTAGTTATCATGTTACAGTCTGAAGTCATTTTAAAAAGAAAAAAAGATAATTTAGATTTTTTTTTTTTTTGAGGTTGGTCAAATTGACTAACCTTGTACAGAGTTAGGGTAAAGAAAATAATAGATAAAATATAGTTTTTCATAAAAAACTTTTGCAATGAATTTAGGAGGTTTTATTTTCTCTATCCTAACTCTATATAAGTTCGGTCATTTTGATCAACTTCCAAACAAAAATTGAAATAAATCTAAAGTACCCCCTTTTTCTTTCTAGAATGACTTCAAATTGTAACAAGAAACTACACTGTTTATCCTAAGTAGATTTAAACTCGTAAAAGTATACATCTCTTAATAATTAAATCTTATTGCTTTATTGCTCTTTACACAGTGTCTAACTACTATTTGTGTCATTATAAGTTGTAAATCACTTGGGGAATGTGCAGCTGATGTTATGCTATCAAATTACATTACCCACAAATATAGTTTCTTTTATAATAAAAAATAAACATGAAAAACAAGAAATAATATACCCGTGTCTTCTTTTTTTTTGCTGTCGAATGCCAATGACACAAAGTAATGCACAAAATAATTTTTTATTTAATTAAATAATGCAACAAAGAACATAGAATAATAACATGCAAAAACAGACAATTTTCTCTAACTATCACAATTTTTCTGGCTTTCTAATAATGCGACGAGAGCCATCACAAATTCATCCAAACTAATCGTTATCTTTCCTGTGGGAACGAAGCTTGTACTAAAAGAGAAACTGACAATTCTCTGTTCAGAGCACAACGTAATATAATACATCATTTGATAGATGAATACCTTAGCTTTCTGTTGGATATAAATAATACAGAATTAAATGTAAGAGAGAACTATTAACAAATCCTGAAAGAGAGGATGTGACACGTGGGTGTGGCAAGAGGGGTCTGATTTTCTATTTGATAACTCTGTAACCAAACAAAATTGAAAGTTTTAAAAATATAATTTGTCTGAGCAATGATGATTTTATAGTGGGTAATTTACATTAAATTTCATACTTATTGGAAGGGTGGTGAATAAAATAGAGATGTGATACCTATAGAAAATGTGTCACCTTTCTCAAAATAGGGGAAATTCAGCATTTTTTTAAATATTGTCTTATAAAATTAAGAACTTAAAAAAACTTATATACAATTAAAATATGGATTATTATCCACAATTTTATGCTATGATGATTGGTATAACATAAACAAAAAGTAATTAATTAAAATTTTGAATGTAAGCCACTAAAACCTCATGACATGTGCAGTAAATGATGCCCAGGTAGATAGATTTGAGAAGCAAGCAATTTTACAAATGCAAAAATGAAATAAAAAAAACTATAAAAAAAATCTCAGCCCCCATAGTTTGTTTCTCAGTCTTCAAAATTTTCCATTGCATGTCTGCAGTCAGTATTACAAAAGCACTGACAAATAACCATAAACTGCTGCAGAAATCATTTCATTTAGTCAACTATGAGTGTGAAAAGTCCAAAATATTTGAAATATCTTCAGAGCTGTTTCAAAGTCTGTGTTTCATCAGCAAATGATCAAACCACTTGACGTGGTATCCTAAAAGGATGCAACTAAGATGTAAAATAACATGAGCTACATTTATTATTAGATCTTCAGAATGTTAAATCTAAAATTACTGGATTATATTTATAACATTCACTAATGCAGGGTCCACATATTGCATTATTTTCATTAATGATATGTTTTTGGCTCTTACAGAAGTAAGTGTTCAAAACTGATCAAAAATATTAGATGAAATCACTCACATTCAATGTAAAATTAAGAAAATATGCCAGGGTTAATTGAAATATTGACAGTACTTTTATTTAAATTTTTGTGTGACTCATATTGAAGACCATGACCTGTAATCAGTAGTTACTAAAAAAAAAAACTATTGATGAGAATTGTTCCTGAAACTTACTTGTTAAAATATGAATTTATGCTACTCAGCTTTTAGTCCATGCCATAAACATTTTTAATATTTTCCAGGGATTATTGTTAATTTGTTCTACTTTTTTGAATTAGATTACATCCTAATTTTACATTTTATAAAATTTACAACACTTTTTAAGAGTTAAAAGTTCAGTGCAAACACTGTTAACATTGGTGCTAATCCTAATTTACCTCTTTGTGCTTCTCCATTGTGGAGTAAATCTTAGCAGTTAAGTCATTGCCAATATTAGGAACATTAGACTTCTTTGTGTTTTTCCTCTGATTGTTTTTGCTTTTGCTGGCTTTCTTGTTTCGGTTACTCTTCTGACCTTTTTTTTTACCCTGAAATAATAAAAATAACAAAACAAGAGAGACATTTGTTTTAAACATACTTTTTAACATTTGTTACATTCTAACATAATAACAATCCTACTTTTCACCGAAGTCTTATTTTGTGACTCAAGGCTATGGTCAAGCTCAGTATCATATTTGCCCTCAGGCAAAAGTAAAGAATATGTTACTTAAAATTAGTAAATTCTATGTAAAAAATAGAATAAGATAAATACTATCTATTTATATAAGTTCTAACACTTTAGAGAATTTTCATTGTACCATTTCTTTCAAAGTGGCTTAGTGTGTGATGTCATTACGCCTACTATGATGAATGTACAAAAACTGGCTTGCAGGTCACCAATTACATGGATCATGTGTGATGGCATAGTAAACAGTAATGTTATCTAGTGTTCTTTATTGTATTGTATATTATTAATTGCCAAACAAAAAAACATTATATATTAAAAATTACCATAGTCATCCCGCATGTGTTTGAAGTTTGTGTTCCAAATATGGTGAATTTTACAAGTTATTAATTCAAGTTCAAAGATGGAATTACACCTGTCAACAGCCTTTGATCTTATATATATATATATATATATATATATATATACATATTTCCAAAACTTGAAAACATGCAACTCACCTGGCTAGTTGGGTCTCCTTCTGTTTCAGTCTCAACAAAGCCCTCAGATGCAGCAGCAGCTGCTGCAGCTGAGGCTTCTGCAGCTTTGCGCTTTTCCTCTTCTTCTTGATCTAGTTCCTTAATGCTTTCTTCTATCACATTAGGCCAAAAATCTCCCTCAAAGTATGGAAGCTCCACTGCACTACTTAAGTTGTCTTCTGTTGCTTGCTTTAAAATATCCTAGGAAGTTAAATAAATCAATATTAGCAATTATTTTAATTAATATATTGTTCACCTAATTAACTTTTCGATAATATAAAATGACCATACTTCAAACAGCCTGCATCACTATAAAACCGGAAGTTTCACTCATGAAAAACAGGTGCCTATTGCTGCACAATAGCATAATTATGTATAAAATACTTGCAATAATTAAGTATCAAGTGATTTCATGATAAAAAAATATAATTATTTGTAATCATCTAAGCTAATTGCCTTTGATTAAGTATGTACCTGACTATTCAAAATGTTGCAGACTAGTGTACAAATGTATTTCATCAAGTATCAGAAAGTCATAAAATTGTCTTTTTTAAATAACAATTATAAAAAAATCAATCTCCTGACAGCTACAAGAGCTTTTGAATTGTTTTGCATGAGCTCTAAATAAACATTTACAACAAACTGTAAAAGAACTATATTACAGACACCATAAATTCTAACTGGAAGTTTCCATTGTAAAAAAATTAATAAATGAATTGTATTCCATCCAGTTCTTTTGGATAAAATATATCCACTGGAATACAATAATAAACAAAAAACATTTCTTTTTACATAAACTTTTTTTAGAATATGTTGCTGAATGTTTATTTCATCATAGTTTCAGTTTCTTTGTTTTTGTTTATACACAAGCTACACAATATTTCTTACAGGGTTAATCTTTTATATAACTTGATTTTTTAAAATATAAACAACTAGAACATGTAACCCAACCATGTAGCTTTCACTTTACTCCTGTTTATTAATATATCAAATTAGCTAAATGCACCAAAACTGGAATAAAAATATCATAAAGCTTTACAGGTAACAGTGACATAAAAACAAGTGCAATGTAGGACATAAAAACGAGTGCAATGTAGGATATAAAAACAACAAGTATTTAAAAATTTACAAAACTGATTCTTTAAACAAAGACACATTAATTAAAAGTTTATTTCTAGAAATTCTAATTTTAGTAAGATCTACCAAAATTTATTATAATTTTAAACTTTACAGAAAACACTAATAAAAATTTGTATTACAAGTTATTTAATTAATGGAAATGTTGAACCACGTAAGAAATGCAGAGCCCATTAACTAAGGCATATGATTTTTCTGCTATTTTACTAAAATGAAATTTGTAATTTACACAATTTAATGTTAGAAGAAAAAAAAAGGGTTTTAAAGAAAAAGTTTGTAAAAGATTTTTTTCTTTTGTTAATTTAAAACAAATCTAAAATATTGTTTGACTTTTTACGTGAATGATAAACCATGAAAATATCCTGAAACGTTACCAATGCATTAAAATATTACAATATAAATTATAGGAACTTGCTGGCCTTTAATATGTGGTAAAATGATGCAGAAAGATTTGAATTTGAGTGAAATCAGGTCTACTAGAAGTTCACAGCTTCATCTAACAGATCTTAATCCTTTAATGTTCTCTTTCCCTTCTTACAAAACAAGACGTTCAAAATTTTAAATTTCATAACACTATTAACCCTTTCACGGTGAGCTCATGCAATTTGTGGAAAACAAGTTGCGAATTTCACTTGTATAACAATACATGTGTATCCTCTCAAAAACTAGTAAGATTTCATAAAATATCACAAGTATCTCCTACACAAATGAGTTTTATAATTGTTTTTTACTAAAAATGTTATTTTCCATAGTAGTTACTCCTATTCAAACTATTAACTAAGCAAGTGCAAAGTGATTTTAATTTGAAGTGTAAGAACACTTTTCTTCATCTTATAGATTTCATATTTCGTTTGCATAATCTAAAAAACTTCTAAAAGGATATCAAGTATTTAAGGTAAATTTTAATATTATATTTTTCATTTTCTCTACAATATTACTAACTCTAGCTATTATCGTCAACATATAATACAATGAATTAATAAAAAAATTAAGAAAAAAATACCTATAATTTTTTGTAGAATATCTATGAAGAGTTTACTTTTGCAAAATTTGTAATTTCATCTCTTTTCATTTTCACATATAGTTAATTTTTAATGTTTTATTTTCCTTTCTCATCTTTTAGAACTTATCATTCATCTCAACACAAGTCAACAGCACCCTTGAGGCACATTACAATTTCTTTGGGAGACATGCGCAACCCTTTGGCAAAATGTTTGCTCAGCATGTAATATTCTAAGCCTTGAGAATGGAAGCAAAGTATGATGTACATTTAAAAAATATTTAAATATTTTAATTATGCATTTTAAAACACGACTAATAGATAATTTACTCTTTCAAGATGGGTCACGGGTGAAAGGCCATGTCATCTCATTTTTTGACTCACATTCAAAATTTTATTGAACTACTACTTCATGAATTTATGTCAATAAGTGTGGTACCAAATTGTATGTAGATTATAATTCAAATTTTAGTACTATACATTACTCAATTTCTTAATTTAAAAGTAATTATTAAAAAACACAAGTAAATATTGATTTTTATGTCATGCGATATGTTGAATGCAGCACTGGTTCAAATTAGATGTTTGTGAAGTCAAAATACTAAGTCTGTAGTTTCGTTTGAATTAAAAACTCAAATTACCGATGTTGACAAGCTAGAATATAAAATAAGAACATCTAATCTTTACTAAGATATTGCTAATGTAATAAGTCAAACAGAGTGGCACCCCGCTCACCTCTTTCTATTTTTGGAAATGCTCCCTTATATACACTTACTTCTATGTATGACACGAATAACCAATCGGAAGCTCAGAATGTCCCCCTAGTGGCTTTCTCAGCCATTTTAACAGGCTTGGATGCCATTTCTTTCTTTTGAACCAATATTTCAAGGAGGTAGGGTGTGTCTTTAGTCTGCTAGAAATTTCATATTTGTTTAGACTAAAATACATCTTAGTTAATAAGCTTGATAAATTATAGTGGAATTCTATGGTACTGATGTAGTAATTTATGATTTTTAAGTTATTCAAATGTATATATAAAACATAAATAAAATTTTGTTTCATGTACTTCACATCCATAATTTCTAAATGCTTAGCAAACTATGTCAAGCAGCAACTGAGTACAAAGGTTATAACTAGAAGGGATAATTGTTTGCTTTACTTCTTTATTTACTGTTCTATGTTTTAAGAAAAATAAGTTTAA